CCTTATACCTCCAATTTCAAATATGTAAAAACAGGGTAAGAATGTTAATATCATATAAATACGAGGATAAAATGGAATATAAAGTATATAAAGAGTTTATCATCATCACCAGCATACACTAAACCTCAAAAATGTTAGCTATGTTCTTTACTACTACCATTATTATTGTTGAAAAAGTCCTGCGAGATAGGGCTTCTGTTTTGTGTGTGTGTGAGAGAAAGACAGAGAGAGGAAGGGAGGGAGGGAGGGAGGAAGGGAGGGAGTCAGAGAAGAGCGTGAGAGAGCAGGAAGCAGGAAAAAGCTTATTATAATAAATAATAATATAAAAGAAGGAGGGGAAAAAATCAGTTTCTTCTCCCAGATGTTATAGATGACTAAACTCTGTCAGAGAAGCCCTAATAAAAGCCCAAAGGCAAGGAAAGGCAATGAAAGCCCTTCTGATGACATCAGAACAGAAAAAGAGGTCTACTGTTCCAAGCATCCCAGCCATCCTACAGGCAGGTGGTACATAGGATGTAACTGTGAACTGACATGAATGAACTGGAATGATGGGGAGCCCAGGACAACTGTCAAGTACAACACTCTATCATTATTGGGTTATTTTGTTTCCTTGTTTGTTTTTGTTTGGGGCTAGAAAGATGTTTAACACATACTATATATTGTCATCTTTCTTCTTTTGAGTAACTTACTAAAGGTTACACAGCAGTGACAGGATTCAAATCTATACTTGCCAGATTCTGGGACTGGTTTACTGATATAGTAAACCAATACAATATACTGCGCATTTTCACAATCTATGGACAGAAAAATGAGTTCATACTGCAGTACATATATGAAAGGACCCCAGATTTTCATGGAATTAAGATTCAAGTTTGTTTGGGAACCAGCAGTTAGCGTAATGGCTATGTCGCTGGACTCCCACGTAGTCGACCGCGGTTCGTGTCCAGGACCCGGTGGCTTAAAACTCACGCCGGGCACGTGTGCATGCGTGCCCAAGATCCCGAGAGGAGAATGGAGGAGAAGGGATTGTGGCGTGACCATCCCCCCTGGTGGCTGATTTCTCGCTTTCTGTCTCTATGTCTCTCTCTGTCTGTCTGGCGAGCGCACGCGCCCTACAGTGAAAATCCCTCAAAAAAAAAAAAAAAAAGATTCAAGTTTGTTTTAGTGCAAAAAAAAAAAAAGTCTGAGATCCAGATGAAGTTTTTTCGCAATACACATTTTATTAGTTTGGTTATCAGTTTACTGACAGTAATAGAAAAGACAACACAAAATGAAATCCTCTATAAGTTAATACAGTCTCAAACCTGTTTTTTCTAAAACAATATCTCCATTACTTCTTAGGACAGTACACAGAATATCAAGCACAAGAAAACACGTAGTACAATAATTAGTAATTGCTGATCCTCAGGAAGTGGTAGCTCCTATCATAATCACCATCACGCCTGAACAAGCGGTTGTTAAGAGTTGAATATCAAAACAGTAATTATGCTTCAATATTAAAATTACTACATTTAGGTTCTATAGTCAATATTCCTGATTTTGAAGAAGGAATCAGGAAACATCCTACTGAGTCCTTGTCCTTGGTCTATGGTGTTGGGGTGGAGGTGGGATTAAAAACTGCTGATTATATTTTGTCATAGCATTTGAAATATTTCTTCCTCCTGTTAGTTTAATAACTAAAAATGATTTAGTTTTAGAATTCACATTCAACTTGGGACCAGCAGATGGAGTAATGGTTACATTTGCTGGACTCCCATATAGTTGACCATGGTTAGAGTTCTGGACCCAGTGGCTTGAAATTCATGCCAGGCACGTGTGTGTTTGTGTGTGTGTGTGCCCAAGATCGCAAGACAAGAATGAAGGAGAAGGGATTTCTTGCTTTCTGTCTCTCTGTCAAGCACAAATGCCCTACAGCAAAAATCTCTTAAAAAAAAAAAAGGAATTCACATCCAACTTAAATATTCACTGATATATCACTTAGTTGACATTTTGATATATTACACACACAGCTGCAACATTTTACTATGGGGACACATTCTGAGAAATGTGTTGTTAGTACACCCTACTACACACCTAGGCTATATGGTATAGTCTATCATGATCTTATGAGACCACCATAGTATATACAATTCATTGTTGACTGAAACTCTGTTATGTGGTACATGACTATATTTTACTCTTGCATATTAAATAATTAATTATGAACAATAACAATTGACAACAATTTCTTTTTATCCATGAATGAACAACCTCTAGAAATAAAAAAGGGAAAGTTTTTGCAATATATATGTAACTCTGATGTTAATCTTTCCCCCAAGAACTTAAAATTACCTAAAATCTGGTATCAGAAATCGCAATGCTCTGGAAAAGATCCAAAATTATTATTATCTATCCATCATTCAAAACTGTGAAAAAATCAACAATATGGCAGAAATACATTCTTCATGCATTCATTTTCACTCGAAGAGAAAATACAAAATGAGGACCTTGCAAAGGAATTCTGGTTGAACTTTACTAAGAAAAGTAAGCAAAATAAGACATGCTTAATTAAAACAAAAAAACTAGCTATGTAATATAAGTCAACTGATTAAGCTTTTAAGAGTCATCTTGGTTAAAAACAAAAAAATTAGTTCTATTTGATATCTTTAATCATTAGTGTGAGGGCTGGCCCTGACTAAATATACAAAATAGGCCATTCTCTTCATATGCACATTTAGCTACTGTCACTTAATGAATTCTTCATCCAGAAAAAACATGGTATAAATGATTGAATTTACTTGTGACTCCAAAGTCCTTGCTTTTTGCATTATGTCATAAATGAGAACTATATTACACACTTTGATAAGCAACTTTACACATTATCTCATTGACTCTTTACTACAACTTTGATAGACGTACTACTAAGAAAACACATTAACCATGCCCACGGTTATGAGGGTAGTTATTGAATCCAGGCTTGCTTGACTCTGCTGCATTGAGATTCTATTATAGAATACGAGCTCATTTCTCTTAAATAATGGATAAAATGTTTCTCATTTTTTCATGTTCAGACTTTTCTGAAGTAATAATACCAAGAGACTTTGTGTATGATTTATGGAGGCCAGCCAGTGGCATGATTAAGGTAGTTGGATCCCACACGCCCAACAGCACGGTTCAAGTACCTAGGTCTAGATCTAGCAGCTTGAAAAACACCCTGGGAGTATAGGTGTTCATGCCTCCTCCCTCCCCATAAAAAGAATGATGATTTAAACCCATATAATACTAGAGCTAAAATAGCGGGAAAAAGAAAGGGATCACAGTCAGTTAGTTTTCTTTAGGCTGGAAAAAACTAGTAATCAGTAAACAAAGAGGAAAAAAATAGCTAACACATGCTCAATATCAAGAAGAATGTGCTTATGGCATCTCTCAAGCCAGACTGGTTTATCTGTGTGTGTGTGTGTGTGTGTATACTGTTTTATACTTGTAAAAATAACTAAAACAGGTATTCCAACTAACTACAAACTCAGTGAAACCCAAAGGAGCAAGTACAGACAAGAACGAAGTACTTATTTTTAGAGAGAAATTTTCGCTATGGGGTACATGCACTCGCCAGAGACAGAGACAAAGAGACAGAACGCAAGAAATCACCCCCCAAGGGGGATGGTCATGCCCCAGTCCCTTCTCGGCCATTCTCCTGGGTACGCACACAAACACCCCTGGTTTGAGTTTGAAGTCACGAGGACTGGGACTCAAACCAGTCGACAACGTGGGACTCCAGTGACGTAACCATTATGCCATCTGTTGGTCCCATAAAGAACTCTTAAATCATACTCAAGAATGGCGTGAATTTAGAACTTTCTCTATTATATTTTATTATACTGTTTTTTTTCTAGAGAGATTTTTGTTATAGGAGGCGTGTGCTTGCTAGAGACAGAAAGAAACAGAGACAGAAAGCAAGAAATCACACACACACACACACACACCCCAAGGGAGATGGCCACACTGTAATCCCTTCTCCTCCATTCTGTTCTTAGGATTTTGGGCATGCATGCATACGTGCCCAGCGTGAGCTTCCATTTTTTTTTTTTTATAAATATTTGTTTAATTCCATTTGTTATTATTATTATTTTTAATTTGACCAAGAAGAGACAAGGAGAGAGAGAAAGAGGGGAAGCAGGAAAACAAGTCAGCAAGTCTGGGACTAGAACTGTAGTAGGCCATGTGAGAGTCCAGTGCCTCAACCATCATACCACCTGTGGGACTCCCTCCTCCCACTCTGTGTGAGTTTCAGGCCATGGGGTCTGGAACTTGAACCATGGTCAACGACGTGGGAATCCAGCAATGTAACCATTATGGCATCTGTTGGTCCCCCCAGTTTTTTCTTTTATCATGATACTACTGAATTAGCTAATACTATAGACTTATATATTTCTTTCATCTACTTACTATTTATTATCAGAAGTAAAATAATAGCTTTAAATGATAAGAATATGGCTTATGATTTTATATCAGAAAGACTTCCATCAGATAGATGGAGGTTTATGATTAGGAAGTTTCTTATTAATAAAGATAAGTGATTTACAAATGTTTACACTAAGAGTTTTCCAAAAGGATTACAGATGATTACAAAAATGAACATAGAAGCTTTTGAACATTAGGGTTTTAAAATTCAGTTTGATTTTAAAAATCCTCTTCTCTAGATCATAAAAAGGTATTTATTATGAAACAAATCCTATATATTAAAGAAAAAAGTTTGATGATAAAAGGCATATTTTGGTTTCAATTACCAATAAAAATAGCATATTTGCAATTTATCATAGCAAATTCTTTGTGCAACACTAGTGTTACAAATAAAATTATTTCAAAAATTTACATTTGTACTGCTTTAGATTTAGAATCTTTACTATTCAAATAATGCTCGATTTTTCAGTAATACCTGTTGCATGTCAAGATTTTTTTAAAGAAGTTATCAACAGTCTCTTGTCTAGTCCTCAAAGACAGGTAAATACTAGAGATCTTACCTTGTGCTGCTCAATGGCATCTATCCATTGTTGTCTATGATCTGGATCTTGAGCACGAAGATACCAAACACTATCATTTACACTAATATCAAATCGACATTCATCAAAATCATGAGGCTGTGGAGAAAAAGTAGGAAATACAAAACAAAGCTAATTATATATCTTAGAAGTATTCTACCTCACAGCAAAAACATTAACATACTTATTTTGTGCTAGCAAGGGACTCCTGCCATTTTTGTGTTTTTCTTCTTGAATAACTACTCTGAAGATGTCTTAAATAAGACAACATGAGGCGTGGCTACCAAAACTAATTTTCATTCACACATATACAAATTATTTAACATATAATTTAAAAACATATCTAATATGTTTCAAATGCTTGAAAAACATCTATTTTAAAAACATATACCAAATATTGTCTATCAAATGTTTTGTGCTTAACTAGTGGGACTATCACCAAAAGCCTAATTTTTAAAAAGGCCAAAATAAGTTTTAGGAAAGACATTATTACTTTTTTTTATACTCTCTATTCCTAAGTAAATTCCCATTATAGATAGTTTCATTCATTTCTGATATCATGTTTGTCAAATTGAATGAAACTGAACAAGATAAAGTAATGCTAACATTTCCCCCTCACATATCTAAAAGTATCCTCTAGGTTTTTCATGTCTTTGATAGTAACAGCAGGGGAACTTCTGATAAAAAAGCAAAAAATAAAATGAACATTACATAAGACTTATGTGAGATAGCTCTAGGAAACTCTGAATCAAAGTATAAATGTCAACTTTTTGATTCTAAGACTGCTTTAGACATTTCATTAAGAATCTATGAAATAATGTTTTTTTTTTTTTTTTTGGAGAGATTTTCACTGTAGGGCGCGTGCGCTCGCCAGACAGACAGAGAGAGACATAGAGACAGAAAGCGAGAAATCACCCCCCAGGGGGGATGGTCACGCCGCAATCCCTTCTCCTCCATTCTCCTCTCGGGATCTTGGGCACGCACGCACACGCACCCGGCGTGAGTTTTAAGCCACCGGGTCCGGGACAGGAACTGCGGTCGACTACATGGGAATCCAGCGACATAGCCATGAAATAATGTTTCACATACATATTTTTCCCTAATAAATAAATAAATTCAAATATGACTTCTTCCACCAGATAAGTGGACAGAGTTAATCAATTCCGTCTCCTGTGACCAATCCTAGAGAATCCTTTCGGGTCAATGTAATAAATTTATTTATTGAATAGATACTAACAGTAATTAATGAATTTTAATTGCCAAATTATTCATTCATAGGATTATTGATTCTCTCCATTTTTGAACAACTTCAATCTTTTATCTCATCAGTCTATTGAGTAAAAGACAATAAAACTCCAAAATGTTCTTTAGCTTATGAAACAATTTCTCTTTTAAGATTAAGACAAGAGGGTCAGCCAGGGGTTTGGTGGTTGAGATGGTAATATCCCACATGGCTAGCTGTGCGTTCAGAACTGGTAGCTTGAGAAACACGCCAGATACATGCATATGTGCATGTGTGTACCCAAGATCCCAAAGGGAGAAAGAAATGGAGAAGGGATCATGGCGTGACCCTGCCCCATGGGGGTGGGGGGTGCTCTGTTGCTTTCCCTTTCTCCCTGTGACTCTCTCCAGCACATGAACAAGCCACCTGGAGACGATACCACAGCATGACCACACTCTACTGGGAAATGCTTTCTCTTTCTTCCTTTCTCTCTCTGGCAAACTGTGGGAGGGGGAGAGGGAGAGAAGGAGAGGGAGAGGGAGAGGGAGGGAGGGAGAGAGAGAGAGAGAGAGAGAGGGAGAGAGAGAGAGGGAGAGAGAGAGAAAGGGAGAGAGAGAAAGAGGAGGAAGGAAGAAGAAGAAGGAAGAAGGGAGAAGGAAGAAGAAGAAAACCTGTGAACAATGTGGAAGTCTCACATCATAACAAAGTGGAAAAATGAGAGAAGTTGAGTATATAGGGCAAAGGAAATAACAGAGGATGTTTCAGGGAAAAAACTGAAGCTCACATAAAGTTTCATCACACATGTGCATACACGCATCCAAACATATAGCAGAGATTACTTCATTCAAAGACAACTGATTCTGCCTTTATTTAAAATTTTGATATTTTGTCCATCATGCACTTATTTATTTATTTTAAAAGTTTATTTCCTCCATACGCCAGAGACAGGGAAAAAAAACAGACAGCACTCCCAACAGGGTCCCAACAATCCACCTCCAGCCTTAGCCAGCCATGGACCATCGGCAAGTACATGCCCAGCATACTCAGGGAGGCCTGTGGATGCAAACCAGGGATATCTGCACAAGTCAACATTGCAGAGCAGCATGTTTTAATGCTTTATCACAGTACAACTCCCAGGAAATTTTCCTTAAAGAAATTTTGGCTCCTCAACCTCTCTGACATGGTAGGCAATGACTCAGATCACAGATCATATTACTTGCGATCTGCCGTATGCATGCAAGGCTTGGGAGTCAACCAAAGACTCGGGCAGAGTTTATATGTAATTTTCAGTTCCCCTTCTCTGGCTCTCTCTTTTCAAGAGTTCCTACCTCTATTCTAGGAGCCCTGGTTGTAACAGGTAACATTCTTAGGTTCTGTTGGTCAGAAAGATGACTGGCTATTTTTGTTGTTGAAGTTTAGCCACCTACCTTACCACCACAAAGATTTCACCATTATTCTACTCAATTTTCAAATATACTGCCACTCACTCTGAAATTTTATCAAATACTTAACAATTATCTAAGTCTAGCAACTTTTTTTTTACAAATAAACAACAAATATTAAAATTTCCTTGTCCCACAAGACAGTAAAATAAATTGTTAGATTCAAATATGAATCAGTGTAATTACAAGCAAAAGAAATTCTTGATCACTTTTTTTTAAAAAAGGAATTTATTAGCCTGTCAGAAAAGTTATGACACATTTTTACATTAAAAAAAAAAAAAAAACAGAAAAATGTGTCACAACTTTTTTTAATGACCCAGTATTTAGAAGGTATCAGGCAACTAGCATTTTTAAGAAATCTCAAGAACTGACATCAAAAAATAAAAAGGAGCCAGGGAAGACTAGGCAACAAAACCCCTGATGAAACTGCACCCCAGGTACCATTTATATGAATAAGGCAGTTTCAGATTCTGGATCTTGTAAGCTACTATTGGCACTGTTACTACTAGATATTGAATGCTGCTGCTGCTAGCACTATAAAAAGAAAACCTTCCTGGCCCAGCCATGGTGGCACACATTGCAATGCTAGAAGCAATGTAAGAGGCTCGGAGTTTGGATCTCAGGTTGACCTGGGTATGCTGGGATGTGGATGCATGAGCACGGGATCCTGACTGGCTGGAGGGCTGGGGCTAGACAGGGTGCTCTTGGAGTGATGAGACCCTCAGGTGTCTGTCTGTTTTTCTTTTTCATGAAAGAAACAGGGGTGGGGTGGGGGGGGAGAGGGCGACTTCATGTTTCTCTGTATGGTGTAGTCCTATTCTAGAAAGTATGGTCCTATTTTAGAATCAAATTAAGAGTGGCAAGAGAAACAAGGAATGGGCACAGATGAGGATAAAGCATGACATAACAGGAGTCTAAGTGCAAGGCCTAATTCATATGCCCTATGCTGACTAAGGAGAGCTCATAAGATGGGGGGATGGTGGAATGGGAGAGGAAATTCAGTGTCAGGTCTTTATAGATTGTATATGGAACACCTTCTATACACATAGCATAAAATTCTTCAAAAGCAAAAAGGTCTTTTTTTGGGGGGGAGTAGTATTTATTTCTTTCATGAATGAGGAAGGCAGGCAGAGAGACAGAGGCAGAAAGAGAAAGAGTACACTCTGTAGGGTCTTGATGCGGTTATTTACCCACAGCTTCAGCCAGTACCAGATCACAAGCATGCATGTGATGTGCCAGGGTATTCAGGGAGGTTTCCAGATGTGTAACATTCCCAAGTGGGTCAGTCTCACAGAGCAGTACAATTTACTGCTGTACCAACTGTCTGGCTCTCAGAAAAAGGATTTTGACATGAGTGTGCCACTTATTAACCTATTATTTCCTTAAATTCACCCTTGCATTCAGACTAGGATGCTGCAAACTAGACCTCTCTCCTGCTGGCCTCCTTTGTTAGGTTCTGCCAATATGGACACTAGATGGAGACTAGAAGATAGAAAGAAGATAGAATTTATGCTGTTCTGTTTACATTCTGTTTCCATAGTATTTGTCCAGCAGAAAAATCTTAGCCTTGGTAGTAGCAGTCTGTCCCACTCTTTAGTCTCTTTTAGAATTCTCTGAACCAGCTTTATCTAGTCACCTCTAGCTGAGACTTCTTAGATACCTAAGGTATAACTCCATGACATTCCCTTTCTAGATTATTGAGATATTAGTATCAGTTACACTGACTCTAATCCTCCCTCTAAATGTCTGAGATGCAGTTTCACAAGCTATTTCCTCTAAGCTTGTAAGACAATAACAACAGATGAACAGCATCCATCTTCATCTAAACCTCAACTCTTGGGGATTCTTTCTCTGAGTTCTAGATTTACTTACTAGCTAGGTAGTCCTTTCAACTCAGAGGTTTAAGACTTATTTCAGGGGGCTCCTGAAGGACAAGTAGCAGCATGCAGCACCCTTTCTTTTGTGGTCTGAGTCCCAACTTTGGAAGGCTTTCCCTTCAGATTTCTAAGCTGGGGTAACGCCAACCTCATTCCTTTGCTCCTCTAGCCTGAGAAGAAGAATCTGATTCTTGCAATTATCCTCAATGTTTTCCTCTTATTCTTTCAGTTCTTCTGCCACCTATTTAATTATTTCCTATATTAAACACTTTCTGTTCAAAGAACTAAAATGTCTAACTCCAAGTGGACCTCAAACACAATAAGCAGTCTAGAAAATGCCAAATGTTGATTTCATAACAATATTATATTACCATCAAAAAGTTTTCCAAAGTATAGAAATTTAACAACTTGGGAACCAGCAGTTAGCGTAATGGCTATGTCGCTGGACTCCCACGTAGTCGACCGTGGTTCACGTCCCGGACCCGGTGACTTAAAACTCACACCGGGCACGTGTGCGTGCATGCCCAAGATCCCGAGAGGAGAATGGAGGAGAAGGGA